TGTTGTGATTGTTTTCCAAAGGAAAATTTTCTATATTTGATTTGTTAATACATTTTGTTCCAAAAAGAAAAGGAGACAAAAAGTGTATATGTGGAGCTCTTTACAAGTTTCTCTCTTCTCATTTGTATTGTAATTGAATGAGAATTTTTGTTTCAAACTTTTTTTTAGCAATAAACTTTTTGGGACAATCATTGTCTTGTGTATATTGATGTACATTTCATTCTTTATTCTTATTCAGTGAAGATTTCATGATGAATTTTGAGAAATAAAACAAATTGAGATTTTTTCAACCTCTAGCCTGAAAATTCACAAGTGTATGCTTCCTAATTCCTTACATTTGATCGGTGATCCAAGCTATACAATAAGAGTGCTCAGACAACAAAAGGGTGAATGGCCACTCCAAAAGCCCGATGAGATACCTTTTCTCCTTCACTTAATCCCAGAATAAAATCTGTCACATTGATTGATAAATCGGGGCCTTCTTTGCTTGAAAATATCCATTGTGTTTAATCGATTCAATTCACATCTAAGTGAAAGCAAAAATGTGCATTATTCTTGTTTGTTTTGAAAATTTGGAATGATACTTTGAGCATTTGTTTCACCATCTATACAGATTTTTATCACTTGCTCTCCCATTTGAGCCTATGAAAGAATAATTTCGTTTCAGATAAGAGCCTTAATGATCACTACCCTATATTGGGAAATTTTCAAATATCAAATAGGGGAATGGATTTTCAATAACCGTTTCGTTACTTTGGTTGTCATGAGGTGTAAGAATGATGCTTTGGCCGTCGTTTCTACAACCTAAACACTGATCACCCCTTGCATCCTCATTTGAGCTAAAATTGGTGATTCTTTTCGACTGCACATATGATCGCACCCCACATTGGGGAAGGAGGTTGGGAGATTTTGAAAAGAAAAAGAAAGGGGAAAAGCAAAAATGCTCGAATAAGAAGGGAACCGCAAATTGGGGAAATTTGATTCCACTTGGGTTCCAAATTTTGAAAGAAAAGAGAAAAGGAAGAGATTTGTCCGCATGGATCGCCTATGTTTCACAAATATGGATGAACAAGGGTCTTCTTCCGTCAGTTAATTCAAATACATGCCAAAAATTTCGCATTAATGAAAGTTTCCTTTCAGAGTCATTGTAAGGGCAGAATAAAAGTCAGGCCCTCTTCTTTTCCAATCAAACATTCTATCCCTAGTTATCCCTTTTTGAGCCTTCAGAGTAAAATACTTCATTTGGCAACCCCTGAGAATCGCAAACCCCACACTGGGGCAAGTTGAGTTGAAAAAGGAAAATTTCAAGAAGTGAAAAGTGAAAAGCCACAAAATCGAAAGACAAAGGAAGAAAAGAGAACCTCAGTTCAAAAATAAACTGGGGAAAATTTTGTGAAAAGTTCAAAAGAGTGGCAGAAGGCCGAAAAATCAAAAAAAAAAAAAGAAAAAAAGAAAATGAAAGTGAAAGGCCTCAATTGAGCATAAACTGGGGCAAATTCTGATTTAACCCTAAAATAGGGTTGACGCAACAATGCGATCTCAGATTTTTCAAACCAGTTTTGAAATCCGTTTTCAAGCCTTAACTTTTCTAAAGCACCCCACCTGACCCCATTACAAAACCGAAAGTCCTGACTTCTGTTCTTTGCAATAGCCCTGTCAAGCAAATTTCTGATGCCGGAAGTTTTTGCTGTATTTCTGAATTGATTGGGTGTGAGGTTGACGCTGCTCTTCATGTGAAATCCCGCGAGGGTCTTTTTGGAAAAGAGGCAAAAAGCAAAGCAAGAAAAGTAAATGCAAGAAAATGCAGAAAATTCGACGCTGAAGTCTCCGGTGAGTGATGAGAAAAATGCAAACAAAGGCTGAAGTCTTTTGATTTCAAAATAGGGGCAATTTTGGAAAAACGCGATCTATGGTGCAATATCCTTGAAAGTCTTAAACTATCGTTTTCAAGCCAAATTACAAGCTAATAAAGTCCATCGTTGACTTATTCTTTCATGACAATCCAAAATGAGGATCATGCTCATAAGAAATTCATCAAATCATTTGTGATCATAAGGGCATAACCCGTTTCCACATGTTTAGCTATCACTTCTGTCCATACGTTACAAGCCTAGAAAGCTTGTATGTTGACTAAGTTTTCTTGAAAATAAGGGTAACAAACTCTTTGCTTTCACTAAGATGTGACATTAAATGGATTACATGCAACTGGGGCACAAAATGAGACAGATTCTTATCTCCCATTTCCTTGGCCATTTCAAAAAATAAAGTCACCTGATTGGTCCTGAAAAGATGAGTCAACCAGAAGTGGTGACCCATTACCCTAAGCACCAATGCTAAAAGTAAGGAAGAAATCTTCTTCTTAAATTTGGTGTTATTTCGAGGAATTCATCATGAAATTTCTGCATGAGTTCAAACTTGACGATTAAAGTTTCTTCACATTGTTGTATGTGCATTCTTTTCTAAATTTTAGAAAGTGCGATTTTTCTTTGTTCAAGTAAATGGGAAATCATCTAAACCAATTTTTGCAATCAAATGGGCCCAAACTGGGGCAAAATTTTTATTTGCAAAATTTCGCAAAATAAGCCCACACAGGGGCAAATATTTTTGTAGTCCAATTGAGGATTTCGTCCAAGAATCAAAATAATGCATTTTTCAAATCAGTCACGCTCATTTGAGTGCATGTAAGCCCTGTGCAGGTATTCATAGTTGAAATCGACGAAAGAGCGTCTGGCGATGTGGAAGGCCGACGCCGAAGAAAGAGAAGAAAGAAGGGAAAGAGAAGGCCCTACACTGGGGCAAATTATTTTTTGAAAAAATTCTCTCGAAAAATCAGAAAATTCAAAAGTCAAAAGTCAAAAATCAAAAATCAAATTCAAATTTTTGTTACTTGGAAAATCAAATTTCTTGATTCCTGACAAATCAAATTCAAGTTCTTGACCAATTGGATGGTAGGACTGGGTCTTATCCCGCTGACCATTCACTTTATCTCGTTGGGCCTGGATGTCGTGCCGCCAACATCACTTTATCACGTTGGGCCTGGATGTCGTGCCGCCAACCTCACTTTATCATGACAAAATTTTATCAAAAAGCATTTCCGGGTCAGTCCCATGATCAAAAGCTTATTCGGGTCAGTCCCACGATCCAAAGCTTATTCGGGTCAGTCCCACGATCCAAACCTCATTCGGGTCAGTCCCACGATCAAAAGCATTTTCGGGTCAGTCCCATGATCGAAAGCTCATTCGGGTCAGTCCCACGATCAAAAGCATTTTCGAGTCAGTCCCATGATCAAAAGCATTTTCGGGTCAGTCCCATGATCGAAAGCATTTTCGGGTCAGTCCCATGATCGGAAGCTCATTCGGGTCAGTCCCATGATCAAAATCAGTCCCATGATGATCAAAAGCATTTTCGGGTCAGTCCCATGATCGAAAGCATTTTCGGGTCAGTCCCATGATCGGAAGCTCATTCGGGTCAGTCCCATGATCAAAATCATTTTCGGGTCAGTCCCACGGTCAAAAGCATCTCCGGGTCAGTCCCACGATCAAAAGCATTTCCGGGTCAGTCCCACGATCAAAAGCATTTCCGGGCCAGTCCCATGATCAAAAGCATTTCCGGGTCAGTCCCACGATCAAAATCTTATTCGGGTCAGTCCCACGATCAAAAGCATTTTCGGGTCAGTCCCACGATCAAGAGCATTTTCGGGTCAGTCCCGCGATTCAAAGCATTTCCGGGTCAGTCCCACGATCAAAAGCATTTCCGGGTCAGTCCCACGATCAAAAACACTTTCGGGTCAGTCCCATGATCAAAAGCTCATTCGGGTCAGTCCCACGATCAAGAGCATTTTCGGGTCAGTCCCACAATTCAAAGCTTATTCGGGTCAGTCCCGTGATTAAAGCCTGTTCGGGCCAGTCCCATGATTTGAATTTTCTATCTCTAGTCAATCCCAATTTTATATTTCTGTCCGGGTCTATCCCGTGGGTCTATCCCAATTTTAAAAATTTTTGTTCGGGTCTATCCCGTGGGTCTATCCCAATTTTAAATTTCTGTCCGGGTCTATCCCGTGGGTCTATCCCAATTTTAAATTTCTGTTCGGGTCAATCCCATTTTAAATTTTTGTCAAAGGGGTAAGTCCCCATTTCTAAAGCGTCCATCGTTCGAGACGCTCGCAGCTGAATAACACAGGTAAGTTTTGGTGTCTACTTCTTTGTCTCAAGTTTTTTCAAAACTCAGACAAAGAGGGGCAAACTGTAGACACCAAATTTTTGGTGTAATTGCATTTTTAATTTTTTATTGGTCGTGTTCATTTTTAGTTTTTAGTTTCCAGTTTTATTTTTATTTTTAAGTTTTATCATAGAATTTGTTGAAAAAGGAAAAAGAAAGAAAAGGAAAAAAAACATCAAAAAATATGTTTTAGTCATTTTGTTTTTAGAAAAAAGAAAAAAAGAGGAAAAGGAAAAAAAAGAAAAAAGAAAATTTGTTCACAAAAATATGTTTATTTCTTTAAATTCAATCTTTGGGCACATTAGTTATTTTTATTAAGTTATTTTGAGAAAAAGAAAATGATGAAAAAATGAAAAATTGGAAAATTTAAAAATGGCCATTTTTGTTTAGTTTTTGTTTAAAATTATTTTTGTTTTGTTATTATTATCATTACTACCTGGTTTGTGTAATTTTGTTATTATTATTTATATTTTATTTTATCATTTCTGTAATTATCAAATTGTTAAGTTTTTAAAAAAAAAAAAAAAAAGAGCAGCGGGCATGCAAGCTGCATATTTTGGCAGCTTGCAAGGACGGTCATGTGCCCATCGGATGGCCAAGAAAGGGGCTTTGAGAGGAGCATGATTGCTGACCATTAAACACAGGGTTTTGGGGGTGGTTAGCTCATATAAATAGAACAAAAGACATCAGCCGCAAAGGGAGCTTCATAGTTGGGAGAGTTAACGGCTAACAAAAACAGAGTGGAAATAGAGGGGCTGACGGGGAGAGAGTTTTAACGGCAAAGAGAAAACAACAAAAGAGGGAGGTGGACGGAAAAAAGAGAGAAAGGTTGACGGTGGAAGAAGAGGGGGTAGAGAGGGACGGCGATAGAAAGCAAAAGCTACGGGAAGCTTATGGAGTTGGCGGCTGTGAGGGTTTAGAAACAAAGAAAAACCAAAGGAAGAAGAGGAAGAGAAATCTGGGGGCTTCATCGTGGAGAGGGGCTGACGGGGAGGAAAGTAAAAACAGCAAAAGAAAAGCTAGGAGCTACGGCTGAGTGGAGAGCTGGGGGCGGCGAACAGAAAACCAGAAAAAGAAGAAGAAATTTTCTGCAAAATTTTCGGCAGAATGGGCTGATTTTCGGCCCACCTTGCGGCATGATTATTTCCTGTCTGGTTGTGCAATCCGATTGGATTTTTGTTTCTGCACCAAGTGGGGAGTAAGGGGAGGATTTCTTGTTCAGAAATTGTTCACAAATAACAATGGGAAGATCGTCAAATCTGACCACCAAGGAGCTGCTCTGCCTCCACTGCACAGAACGAAAACGCAGCAGAAACTCTTGTTTTGGCCCAGCAATTCAGGTGATCGTTTCTGAGCCTCTTCCATACTCGTTTACATCCCTTATTGTTTATAGATGGAAACAATTTCTTTTGGCTGAAACTTTCATGAAATTTCAGAAAATCTTGCTTGAGCTTTTCCTTTTCCTTTGAATAAATCGTTTTTTTTGGATTGCTGGAGTCGTGGTTTGCTTAACAATGCTTGACTTGTTTGCTATTCGACTGAGATGTCGCGTGTACGTTGTGAAGCTTAGAGCTAAAGGCCATCAGTGTCTTGCATCTTGTTTAGCCAAAAAGTTTTTCATGTGAACTTGAGTCGCGGCTGCCAAAGTGGCAGCAGGCGCACTTTTGGTTGCTGATTTTTTTATATAGAGCCAATGATCCTAGTTTTCATTTGTTTTGATTTGAGCGGAGATGGATCGAAGATTTTGCATATACTTTGTTTGCCAAAGGCTCGTGAATGAAGTTTGCGAATGAAAATCTGCAGAGAGAGTTCTTGCTGCATTTTTTCCCTTTCTTTTGCTGTTTAGTTCTTGTCGCCCCTGATGGGTATCTCGAATGTTTGGCTGCATCCCTACGACGAGTTCATGTGCATTGGAGTTAGTTTTGATAACTGGAATCCGGCTGACTGGCGAGCTTTTGGCATGATTTAATGTAGAAAGCCGCAGCTGGAATATTGTAAAAGAAAAACCCTGCGGCATTTTTTTCCTTCTTTCTATTGCTGTTTTGCTGTTTAGTTTTACCTCTGGTGGTCAGTTTCATTTATTGTTTTAATCCTGCAATAAGAGTTGCTGTCTTAATCCTGCAATGATGAAATGGTTATGCTTAGATGAAATGTTTTTGATCAATGCTTGGAAATGGAAATGAGAAATGCAGCAAGCTTGCACTTTCCGTTTGCAGAAATCTTCTTGAGTTTGCATGAAAGGTTGCTGGAATTTACATTATCCCATCATAATTTGTTGGCTTGTGGAATTCTGTGTTAGTTTTTAGTTTAATGCCGATGGCTTTGATTGATTGGTGAGATGTTAGTTGCATATTAGGATTGTATTTGAGAAGTTTAGCATGTTGCAGATGAAAGGAACCAGAAAAACAAAGAGATTTACGTAGCATGCATGAAAGCTTTCTGAAATATTACACTTTGACCCCCTAAGTCTCTCCTAATGCCACTATGACCCAATTAATTAAAGAATTTCATCAAATTGGTCCTTGATAATTTTAATTTGTGCAACTTCATTGTTTGTTTTGCTTCAATTAACTACCATGCTCTGTCAATTGCACTTAAGTTATGACTTTAGGGACTTTATGACCAAGTGAGCCTTGTTTTGCCCATTTCTTCTAATTTTTCTTAAATAAAGTGGTGCCTTGACCTTTTTATTATTTTGAAGGGTAATTGAATAATTTCACTTCATTGGGGCGTCAATTCAAGGGAGGTACACTCTATCCTTCATTTGCGCTTCATTTGACTCTACGTGCTCCTACGTGTTATGTGAATATGCATGTCTACTTCGCTTTCCTTACCTCCTTGCATGCGTTTACTTGCTTTTTACTTTTATTTAAGTTTTATGGGGTATGTGTACACCTCTTGGCTTGTAATAGATAGGGCTCGGAGAGCATCTGGTCCATTTTCCCCTTCCCCTTGTTTGCTTGTTTTTGTTGCTACATGTTTAATTGCTTTGATAGGGCCTCGCATCTAGTCGAGCATGCTAAATGTTATGTGCTATGTGTTTATACGTGTTTGGCATGTCTACTCGCTTTCTATAGAATGAATGAATGTGATGGATGAATGTACGTCACCACACTAGTCCAATGCTAGTTGTGGCTCATTAGGTATTTCCCCTCGTTAGCACATCATTTGCTTGTTCACCACATATCACGCATTTTTCTTAGTTTTATCATTTGGCATGCTCCTCGAGCCCCTTTTCCCTCATTTTAGGATTTTTGCATCTCATGCTAGTTAGGGTACATTTGCCTGAAGAGTCCCCTTAAATATGGGATATAGACGAGTGTGGCTTTTTCTAAGCCTTGGCACGCTTGTATTCCCTCTATCAAAGGGCAAATTGAGTCACGATTTAGGTCTCCCCGTACCCATCTTGCTTGCATTCCCTAGGCTCATGCATTCTCAATCCACTCTATCATCACACTTTCACTTTTGTCTCATTTGCACACATGCACCTTTTTATCACTTTCACCTGCACACGAACACTCTTTTAACTCCACTTGCACACGAACACTTTTTTTATCTTCACTTGCACACGAGCATTTTTATCTTCACTCGCACACGAGTACTTTCATCTACATTCGCACACCTTCACTTATATCTTATTACTTTTATCATTTTTCTCACTTCACACAAACTCACACTTTCACATGGCATGCATTCCACTCATTTTTCACGTCATTTAGGTTTAGGTGTGACCTCTCCAAAAGGGTCATTATTGGGCTTCACAATTAATGTGATTGGCACCACTCAACCTTTGAAGAGAAATTTCCCCCAATCCCCCTAGGTCTAGGTTTTTGCATTCATATAGACATATCCAATACGCGATACATACCTTGGGTAGAAAAATTAGGAAAAATTGGTTAAGTCGCGCAACTAGCCTTGGCTAGGTCAAAGGGGTGCCTTGGATTCTATCCTTGCCTTCCCCTTTGTCAAACGTGACCCCCGAACCTTTTTCTTTGGCTTACGTGGACTAGGAGTCGTTTTAAAAAGGGTTTTGCTACTTTGTCTTTAAAAACACTTTTTGGGTGACTTGGTACACCCCAAATCTATACCAAGTGGCGACTCCGTTTTCATATTTAAAAAACCCTTTTTAAAATTTCATTTGGCCAAATCGTCGCTTTCCAAAGTCCCATGGCCTTTTACTTTTCATTTTGCACACGTTCACACTACACTTCACACACACATCACTCACACACCACATCACACATTTCATTCATTCGAAAAGTGGGGCGCGACACCTTGGCAATTTGATCGCGAGGTTACTTATGAAGGTCATTCCAACAAATACTCGTTCATGCATAAAGGGATAAGGATCATACTTGTTCCACTCTCACCTACACAAGTTTGAGAGGACCAAAATGTTTTACAGAGGGAATGGGAGTTGGATCGATTAGAAGGCAAGGAAAAGAAAGGGCGAACATTGATCCTACTCGCTAAGCCTGAGGACAACATCGGGCACTGGGAGCTGGATCGTTCCACCTTGGTGGTGTTTAACGTGTTTACATTTGTGCAGGTTGTTCGTGGTCAGATATCCTTCATCTTACAGTGTGCAATACCCGCAACCATAGAGATCTGCGAAGAGAGTGCTGGTCAAGTAATTCCAACCAACACTAGTCGAGTTACATTGGCCTTTGATGCAGTGTTTGCACGTCTTGATGCGTACAACTCGCAGCCCAACCAAACCTTGGTTCACCGGGCGTCCGCTCACGATCCACCCATAGGGTTGAGACGTCGCTTGTGTGACCATTGTCATGGAAATCTTGCTGTCCGCAACATGTATCTACCACCACCACGAGTTGTCCTTGTTCCACACAAGGATGTCATGATCATTCTTCGCTTAAGAAGGCGACATGCAGGCTGCTTGGTGACTATACACATGCTCTCATCACTTTTGTTTTGTAAGAGAGTCATGATTTGGGGACAAATCGCCTTTAAGAGGAGGAATGATGAGAATATAAAGACCAAGGCCCATTCAAGCACATGGGGAATTGGAAGATTCAAGTGAAGACCAGTTGATTGCACGAATACTTGAGTTTAGTATGATTATTTGATTTTCCTCGTTGATTTTGGTTATTTCTCGCTTTAGAATGTCTAGGTAATTAATCTAGTTTAATTGCGGCCCATTTGTTAGTAAGTGAGGCCCAAAATCTTCCTTAAGTATGTAGGGTAGTTTGGTCAATTTTTGGATTAGGGTTAATGCTTGTAAGGGCTATAAATAGCCCCACTTCCTCTTTGTTTTGGGATCAGTTTTGGCTATTAAATACAATTAGTGAGTTTTCACTTTCTCTTTGGCAAGAGAGTTTCCTTTGAATACTTGAGAATCTTCTCAAGTTATTCACCCGAACATATCAATCAAGTATCTCCTTGATTGTGGCGTTCTACTACCTCCAATTTGGTTTGTTAATTCGAGTAGTTACGGGTTGAGATAATATCAAAATTGTTCGTGACTTCTAGGGATTAGTTGGGTCAAATTTCCGCTGCCTAAGCCATGGTGTTTTGGTTGTCTAGATCGGGGTTTCACATCACAACTTCAATCACAAAGTGACACTTGTCACCTTTTAGCTTAAAGCTTATCTCTTTGTCTCTCTAATACTAATCCATGTAGGTAACTTCTAATTATCTCTTAGCAGCTTGTAAAATAATATCACTTAATACAAAACTCCAACAAGTTGTCAAAAATATATTGCATTTACCGCTCTAGCGGGTCCCACGTCTATAATACACTTCAAACTCAACGTGGACTAACTTGAATCAAGGAAATGATTTGAAAACTATATTCTCTTATAAAAATGTATAGGAAATTAATATCTTGAAGAAAGGTACAAAATTATAAACAAGAAAACAAAATAATGTCTAGAAAATATATAAAAATTTTCGGGTTCTCACACTCATTCTTTCGGGGCGTCACAAACTCCCCTCCTTAAAAGAATGTCATCCTCGACATTTCACCAATCAAGTCAAGACATCCCGCAAGAATCACTCAAGCATTCCAAGCAAACACTAAGAGTCAAATAACACCAACTTGTCCGCCTTTCAATCCTACAAGAATCACTGATATTTCAAATCAAACCCACAGTCCGGTATCCTAAACTTCAAGCCTAGGATACACTACAGAGATCTGAATCCTAAGCTCTGATATCAACTGTGACAGCCCCACCTCACCCTAAGGCGAACCAAAGGGTTTGGCGGGCCGCCTGCCCAACTCTCACCGGGACTCAGTCGTTCACTACAGTCCTCAATTAAATTACAAGATATATCTCAAATTTACATCAAATTCTCCAAGAATTACATATCACAAACGCAGCGGAAACTAATTCCCAAGCGTGGAATGTACACGTACATCCATTCAAGTCCAAACATTCATACAAACCCAACTATTACACAAGAGAAATCTAAAACTCAAACTATACAGGAGATAATCCATCCAGCCACATGAATAAGTACTACAAGCCTTCCTTCGCCACGAGCCCTGTGGAGGGGAATAAAATATTTTTGGGGTGAGCTAGAAACTCAGTGAGTAACCAATAAAATCAGTAATCGAATATATTTCACAATAATGCATTTCGATGATGTCATGATTCCAAGAGCAAATATACGTATTGTTGCTCTCGTGAGCCAGGGAAATCATTGCACTTAAACACCCAACGCTCAAATAGATCACTTAGCGTTAAACAATAAGGGGGAGCAACGTTGGTGCTCCAGATCATGTCTGTGTGGACTCGCAAATTTCTTATATTTTTCTCAAAAATGCCTTTTATTTGGAAATTATTAATTATTAAAGCCCTACTACCCGGATCATTCCACAATAAGTGTAAATAAACCTAGAAAGTAGGGTTTCACTTTTGGTTTCAAGATTGGAGCAACAATTAGGGTTTTCGCGATTTTTTGCCGGATGAATTTTCGGTACGGAGCAAGGACCAAATTTGGTGATTAAAAATGACTTTTAAGTGAGAAATAATATGTGATTAGGAGCAATCATACAAGGTTAGTGAATAGGAAGTAAAAACCCTAGTACGTGTGTTTTTAAGAAAAACGGCGCGAATCGACGGGTACCGCGCACTACCGATTGAACGCACCACTTGACCACCACTTTCTTACCATACAAGCTTATTAATATTTGAGCAAAATATCTCCTAATTTCCAGCTAAGCTTGACCGAAATTAAGGGCTGAAAATACAATAGAGAAAAAGAAAATTTTACTTGGTAAGGGTTGTGACAAGTGTCACACCATTAGGGGCCATTGACCAAGACAATTGTCCAACCTTCTTATCCCCCAAATTGCTCCATACTCCTTCATTTTTCTGCTGAAGAGCCGAGAGAGAGAGAGGGAAAGAACAAGAGAAAAACTTCTTCATTTCTTCTTGAATCTAGCAACCAAGGGAGGAAACAAAGAAACTAAACCGATTAAAGGCACCCTTGAGTGTTTATTTAGTGAGCTATTGGTGAAATTTTGAAGGGGAAAGCTAGGGTTGCTCTTGGTAGACACTAAGCAAGGTAAGGATGATGATTTCCCCAAATTTTACTCTTAATCTTGTTTAAATTAGCTTAGCTTCTCAATATTGTGATGAATGACGGTTATTATCATGTTTTGGGTAGTTTTCCCTTTTGTTACATGAATTAGGGTTTGATGGCTTGCTGTCTATACTTGATGTATGATTGATATATGTTTTATCCAAGGTTATATAGGGGGTTTTGGTAGCAAGTGTAGCAAGAAATTAAGAAAACTATCATTGAAACCAAAAGATTTCAGATTTCTGGAAATTTTCACCCTATTCTGCTCGTTTTTGTTGCACCATGTTAGAGGCCGAATTGGGCTTGGAATAAAACATGAAAGTTGTATAGAATGGTATTTTATAGGTTCCTACAAAATTTCAGCTCAATTGGAGTAACGTATATTGTGAAAAGATGAAAATAACCTCGCTGTTCTAGGTTACATTCCAGAGTTCCGCGTGGACAGTTTAGTCTATTTGGTTGTGTTTATTCACTATAATCCGTTGGGATTTAGCTATTTTCCAAAACATAAAAGTTTTAGTATTATGTCTTAGATTTTAAACGCCTCCAAGAACACCTTAATCGGACCTTGGCAACCTGAGATATGACCATTTCAGTGCAGTACGGTTAATTAGCCGACTAGTTGGATTTTGGTTCTGTAAATTGGGAATTTGACTAGGTTGCATTAGAAACTGGACAAGTGACCTTCATGAAAATTGTAGCCCTATGTCTTAGCTTCGAAACGGTATAAGTTTCATCTCAATCCGATAAGCGTAGCCTCGGATGTGTTATTTCCGCAACCACACGTCAAATCTGTCTTTTGCTAGGTTACATTTCCGCACTTGTTATCACTTTGATTTTTGTTCTTATGTTGTTATAAGCCTATGGAACGGCTATTTACTCGAATCGATGATATGTATGACTTTGGGATTGGCTGAGAAAAAATAATGAAGCCATAAATGGCTGGAAAATTAGGTAAACACAAAGGGCATGCTGGCCAAATTTACGCTTGAGGACTAGAACTATACTTGCAACTTGAGTAAAAGTTAAAAGTGATTATCACTTGAACTAGCGAGGACCTTTGCTACTTTGTTTATCGAGGGTTATACGTTAGGACTTGGCCGAACTTGTACTCTTAGGAAAACGATATGAATCACTATGAAACCGTTTTACTTGCACTTTTGACTCAAAGGACATCTCCAAGCAAACATGTTATCAAATTTTTCAGTTTGAAAAGCGAGCAACTATTTCACGACTATTTCTCAAGGGGATTTCAATTTCTTGATTCTTAATGAACGAAACGCTTAAGTTTCGAACCTTAGTTGATTTTCAAAGTTCTCAAGTTAAGTTTTATCGCAGATTTGGACTCCAAACCCGGAGTACCACCCAGACACGGGCACTAGAGGCACTATTTTGGTGACTGCTTCCAAATATCTGATTGAACACGATATTTGCCATTTATCTTTGATCAACTTGAATACGTGATACAAATGTGATTTGATAGAGCAAGGGTGTACTTTATCGCACTTGCCCTATCTAAATTTATTCTTGTTTATCGACTTTACTTGACTTGCTCTACATGCACATGAATTATATTATGCCTGAAATTCCAGAAACCCTGTGGCTAATTAATCGAGTCGAGCCGGCAAGGGCCTGGTCGATTAGATAACAAACCCTGGGTCACTAGTAAGGTCGAGTGGAGTGTTATCTCCTCGGCAACTCGGTATACTCGAGTATTACCACCCGTATTTCGTGTGGCGTGCGGGCCCGAAGAAGGGGATTGATTGGTGGACGGAGGCTGGCGAGAAGTGGAGTTTTCTTTTGGACTGGTTATTACTTGAAAGTTGACGGAGTGTCAACTACTATTTGATCAAGTTGGGATGAAGCCGTGACATGAGCAACTGTATCCTTACTTGTGAACATGATCCACACATTTCTTGACTACTTGAAGTATTATCTCTTTACTTGAACTCGTTTGCTCGCTATCTCATTATTACCTTGTTATTATCTTGTTTGCTGGACAATTTGATATCTGGAACATCATTGAGTTTTGGCTCACCCTATTAGTTTTGTTTTCCTTATAGGGGTACGAGTGACGCGTGAGACGTGTAAAGGCTAGCGTAGTCTAGTTGTTTGACTTTTGACTTTTGTCTTGTACTCGCGCTATTTCTCGAATAGAATGTTTTGTATTTGATTTGTATACGCTTTGAACTAGTTTGGTATATTGAGACTTTGTACCTTGAATTGTATCAATGTAAATTATAAGCTTGAATTGTGGATGTTATTTATCGTTGTACGCACGTGATTCGTTTTAGATAGTGAGTGAGTCCTGGCGAGAGCTGGGCAGGCGGTCCGCCGAACCCTCTGGTACGCCTTAGGGGGATGTGGGGTCGTCACAGGTGGTATCAGAGCCTAGGTTGTGAATTGATCTGGGTAGATTGAGTGCTTGATACGATAGGCTAGGGTTTTATTTTCGAGCTTAGCCTTTAGCCTTATTTTCTACGTGTCGTGTACTTACTTTTGCCATGTTACTTGTAAACCTAGGTTATGGCGGGTACTGACGCCTCTGGGAGTGCTGGGCCGTCCCAGCCCGCGCCTACTGATATTCCGGCTGACGCGCCTACTGATATACCGGCTGACGCGCCTACTGACGCTCCTATTGACAAGCCATACCTAGAGGGGCCTGTTAGCCGTGTGATCACGTATCAGGAGAGCCTCGGTGGGCCAGTG